CGGCCTGCCCTGTTTCCCAATAAAGCCATTTGCTCCTGAGTGGATGCCAGGGTGCAATGATGCAGCCCCTCCAAATCCTGGCAGCTTATCAGGGAGCTGATTCAAGTGGGGTAGCTGGCATCAAGGAGCAAGGCCTCTACTGATGGTCCAGGTGTATGCGTCCCACCTGTCCTGCAGCAGCCTAGGTGAAAAGACGGATGGTGCCATCAGCCCCCGATGAGAAGATCCATGGCTGAGTGGGGTGGAAGGCCACATCCAGGACGCCCAGGTCTCGGGTCAGTGTGTGCCCCTTCAGCACTTTAACTGGCACCAGCAGCGGGTTCTGCAGCAGGTCACTACGGGGAAGAGGGTATCAGGGCACAGTTGCAGTAGTCACACTAGGTCCCCATAGGGAGGGGGCAAAGTGGGGCCAACACTTACTTGTATACCATGCCATGGCAGACAATGATAGTGCCATCATCTGAGCCAGATGCAAAGAGTGGGTACCGGGGGTGGAAGGCTACAGCCCGCAGGGCCTTCTTGTGGTGCCTGGGGAAGGACTGCTTTTAGGGGTGGGGTCTATTCAGGCAGGAGACAGTGCCCAGGGGACCACCACCCGTCTTTACCTCAGCACTTTGTATGGCTTGGTAGAAAGGTCCAAGTCAAACCATACCAGCTTGCTGTCATAGCTGCCACAGATAATGTTGTCACCTAGGACCAGAGCAGGAACAGATGTCCTCACCACACCCATAGGGTCGCCAGCACTGCCCTTACCCTAAAGGTGTATGCCCCCATGCTTACCTACAGGGTGCACAGCCATGCTTGAGACCCACTTGCAGTTGGGCATCAGTTTCTTGGTGAGCTCCTGGCGCAGTAAGTGGTAGACACGGACACTGCGCTGGGAGGCCACCAGCAGGAAGGGCCGAGTCGGGTGGAAAGCCACACACTGTACCTGCCCATGGCTACGGTGGAAAGGACTCTGGCTGCGGCGCCGGCTCAGCTGGTGGATCAGCACCTGAGTGTGGCCTGGAGTGGCCAACACTACAGCCAAGTAATCTCCACGCCCATGCCAGGTCACCTGTGTCACTGGCTGTGGGAGAGCAGTGTTGGCTGCTTGGTGGAGGTGGAGCCAGGCTGGCCCTCCCTTCTCTCCCTCCCCTCCCTCCCCCACACACCTTGCTGTGACAGATGCGCAGCCGCAGGCCCTGCTGGTGCTCTTCCTCTGATGCTTCCAGCCAGTGGGCAGGCTGCAAAGCAGGTTCCTCAGGTGGGGTGAAGGCACCCAGCAGCTGGTCTGTGCTGCCTACCAGCAGCCTGTCACCCAGGGCTGGGTTCAACAGCAGCACTGTGTCATCCCTACAGAGCAAGGCCAGACATGGCCATTCACCAGTCATGTCCTCCACTACCACCCTAACCCCCAGAATCTATACTCACAGTGCTGCAGCTACCAAACAGATGGTGGGGTTGGGGTTCCAGGCAACACTCCTCACCACACCCCCCACAGGCACAGTCTTCATGCATCGGGCAGTGGCCACCTCCCAGAGTCGCAGAGAGCCATCATCCGAGCCTGGATAGTGTAGAAAAGACCCTCTGTACCTGGCCTACCTGCCCAGACCCAGCTAAGGGCTGCCCCCCTCAGGCTTACCTGAAGCCAGCCACTGGCCCCCAGGGGAGACACTTAGGCAACGGACAAGGTCGCTATGGCCCCTGTAGACCTGCAGAGGAGGAGTGGTGAGCAGAGACCCACCAGGGGTTTTGGGCTTGCCCCCAGATCTTCTACTCACCAGGGCTTGGCATGTGGGGAAAGGCTGTAGGTCTCTTGGCCGAGGCAGTTTGGGGATGAGGTCTTCGGGATCCACACTCACCTTAGGTAAGAGAGTACTCAGTCACCTTCAACAACAACACCCCCTACTGTGTGACACCTGCACTGCCCCCACATACCCTCATCTTGCGCTGCCGAGGGCACAAGTACAAATCAAGGCAGCGCTCAAAGCGCTCTTGGATGAATCGGCTGTATGCAGGGACAGCCCGTAGGCTTGGAAATTTCTGTGGCAGAAAATTGAGCTTCCTTTCACCCGGCTCCTGCTGTACCCATGCCAAGCGCTGAAGAGATAGGAGACAGGAAGATGGGGTGAGCGGAGGGTGCTCAGAGATCTTGGCTGGGCCATGCCCCCCACCCAGATGCAAGCCTACCTCTTCCTCACTGAACAGGTATTCAGGAGGGGGATTGTATGATTCAGCATGGCCAGGCAGGGCCAGCTTGGGTGCAGGTACATGCATCCTGTGGCGTCCCAACACAGCATTGGGGTCCTCCTGGGCCCACAGGTCATAAAAGCTGGGGGTGGGGTCTCGGGGCCGGCGAGGCTGGATCCAACCCATCTTGATGGCATGAACCATGCGAGACACCTGCACAGACAGCCTGGGTCAGAAAAGGTGGCAAAATGGCCTCACCCCGAGGACAGTGTGGACTCCCACCTTCTCCTTCTCCACCAGGGATGGGATGAAGCTGCGCTTGTCAGCTGGGCGGTTGGTCACTGGGTGGATCATGACGTCACCACTGAAGAAGTCCACGGCTGGCTGGGGTGGCAGGCACAGGTGTGTAAGCTGGGGCTCTGCTGGGACCTCCATACCCCCAGGGCCAGTGGCTGCTGCCTACCTCATATGGGTTGAAGCCCATGTCCCCAAATTGGCCACTCTGCAGCCTCCGCACCAGAGCCACTTGCTCATCAGTCAACCGAAGGTCACGCCCAGTCATCCTGTCTTGCACAGTGCGCCTGGGGGGCAGTCGGTCAGAGCTTCCCTCTAGCCCCTCAGACCCCCAACCCCACCCTGGGGGCCAACTCACCAGAAGTCAGGATCATCCATCTTGTCCAAAAACTGGTCCAGTTCATCCTGGGTCCGCAAGGGCTTGTAGATGCGCCTGCCATCCAGGTCATAGCCCACATGTGGGAAGTCGTCATACCACTCTAGGGGCACGTTGCCCACTGTGTTCCGGATATCCTATAGCCATGGTCTCACATCAGCACCTGTACCCACCATGCTCATCCCTCCAATAACGTCACCCTGGGGCACAAAGGGAGTGAAAAGACCAGCCTCAAGTACCCTGAGGTCAGTGACTCCTGACATGTGCTCCTTCCCTGGCCCTCCTGGGGTCTGACGTGGCAAGGCAGCGGGTGTTGCTGCCCCCCCCAGGCCCTCTGAGGCGCCGGAGCTGCACCTTCACATTTTCCACTGAAGTGGTGCCAACCCTGGCCTCCCCCCTCACTGGATTCCTTGGCCAGAACTCTGGGCAGCCACAGACAGGAATGACCTCATCGCCCGTGGGCTCCCTCCCCTGGCAGGGGCCTGAGGCAGAAGTGGGTAGTTACAAGACAGGGACAAGGGGAAGATCCCACTCCACCCATTCAGCAAGGAGACAGAAGCCACTAGATTCTGCTCTGCAGGTGGCCAAGGACTCCCCTCCCAACCCTCACTGGTCTTACACCCTCCCCTTGGGTAACCAGAGCAGCCACATTCCTGGACACACATTCCTGGTTTCAGACCCTGCCAGCCACCACCCTCACTCATTCCCAGCCTGGGGACCGCTGCCCAGGCGGCTGCTTCCTGCAACAGTGGTGGTGGTGGTGGGGCAGTCTGGGTGCTGGAGGCCCCTCTGCAGCAGGATAGAACCTCTTGGACTGGCCCCTCCAGGTACCCCACCCACCCAAAAGAATGTCGTTTTCTCCGGGGGAGGGGAGGTCTCCAGCACCTTCCTGCATATATGGCCAACCCCAAATTGGAAAGACTTCAGGGAGGAACTGGTTTTATCCATTTGTGCAATGGCATTATGGCCATGCAGCCTGTAGTGCACAGTGCAGGAAAACGGACGCTGCCCTCCCAAGAGTGATGAGCAGGAATGAGCTGGGACTGGGAAGAGGGTTTAGCAGTAGGCATAGCTTGTACCAGACCCAGAGAGGTCAAGAGCAAGACAGTCGAGCTGTGTCACTCTCCACAAACCTCTGGCCAGCGGCTGCTGGGGCGACTTGCAACCCCTCTACACTGCTCTGTGCTGCCCTAGCATACAGTGGGCACAGGAGGCCAGAGAGTACCAGGATGGAGTGGCCCAGGCAGTTCTGGGTCCTACTTCACTTTCCTCTCCGCGGAGGGGGAGGGGATCGTCGGCTTCCCCTGCGTCCCCATGCCTGAGCAGAGAGATGCTCCGGACCATCCGCGAGGCCCTGCGCTCCCTCGGCCCGCGGGCCCGGCGGAGGCGGGC